GCCTTAAATTTTTACCTTTAACACACTGAATAGCAATTAAACCCCAAAAGTGGGAAACAATTTTTTTAAGACTTTATTTATTTATTCATGAGAGACACAGAGAGAGAGGCAGAGACATGGGCAGAGGACCCCCGGATCATGCCCTGAGCTGAAGGCAGGAGCTCAACCACTGAGCCACCCAGGTGTCCCAGGAAATAATTATTTTTGTACACAAAAGCCCCCATCAAACATCAAGATAAACTAAAATGGCAATCAACTCATCCTATTAGTCAAAACACTAATGCTATATGTCTATTTCTCTAAGCTAGAGTTTAGGGAAAGCTTCTTCATTCAGCAATCTGATCTGCAGTTAGATAAATATTTTGAAAAGCTTCTGTTAGAGACAAAGTCCTTGCGGACAAGAAGCTATTCTCATTTTCCTCCACATAAAGCTCATTATTATTCTGTTTGGGGAGGTTAACATTTGCTTACAGTTTTCTCTCTTTACTTTCTGACATCAGAAGGCAGCTTGGTAGACTGAAAGGAATATTGGATTAACCATCAGCAATTATGGAGGCTTTCTGTCATCCCTCCATTCATCAGTTTTGAATCATTGAGTCAATTGCAATCATACATCTTAATTTACTTTCATTATTTCTAAAAGAATCATGTCTGACGAGGTTGTTATGATGACAAATTCATTTTTCCAATAGTGCGTCTTGAAAGTCTAAGCCCTGTGATAGGCTATAATCAAAGAAGAATCAAAGATTCTGCTGTCATGGAATTCACAGACTTAACATTACATAATGGAGTTAATGGGCTGAGACCTAACTGATTGTAATGCAGAGAAGCAAGTAATACATTCTATAATAATAACTGATATTTCGGAACCCTTACTACACGCTATGTAGCATTCGAAGCACTCTACCTCAATTGTTTCATATTATCTTCCACAGAAAGTAGAAAGCAAGTCTTGCTATCTATCTCCATTTTACAAGCAAGACAACTAAAACACAGAAAGTTTAAATAATTTGCAGGGGTTGGTTAGTAGAGAATGCAATAATCATAAAGCTGGATTTGAACTTAAACCAATCTGAATCTACAACTGGCCCTCTTTACCACCACAGGACATTTCCTTCCAAGGGTGAAATCTAAACTCCTTCTAATGACATCCAAGGACACAGGTATTTAGCCTCAAAACACCTTTCTGAACCTATTGTCCATGAGTTACCAGGATAGATCTCACTTTAGTAGGTCAGTCCCGTTAAATATCCAACAAATAAATGAACAAACAAAAAATATCCAACAAACATATTTTGCAAATTCTTTAACCTTTCCTCCATCTGGAAATCTTGCTTTCCACTATCAATGTAAACATTATAGTGGATATCAATCTCTACCTTCTCTTTAAAATAACAACAGCTGATTACTTGTCCCTTACTATATGATATTTAGTGAGTTTTTATCTTCATTTTTCAGTCAGATCATAAGTAACCTTAGAACAGGGGCAATGTCTTCAACTTCTTTGAGTTTTTCCATGACATGGCTTAACGCTCTGAATGACAATTGTCTATATATATGTCTGGCAACCTCAATAACTGACCATTTCCTTTTCACCTTTTTATCTTTAATGCCTGGCATACTATTTGCTACACAAGTACATTCAATGACTATTTGGTGAAGAAATAAAAGAATGTGCAAATAAATAAAATAATATAGTCAAGTTCCCAGTGCCTACTGGATATTCAATAATTGCTAGTTATTGTTATAAGTCTCTAAATTCTGAAAAATATAACATAATCTACTTTGAAATCTGCATGAATAAAAGCCTCTGAAAGTGTGATGACATAAATGTATAAAACACAAAGGTACAGAGTACCCTTAATTAAACTATCTTTAGCGTTATTGGTACTATGTGTAGTTTGACATACATTGTCAAACATTGTTGACAAACATTATCTTATATAACACATTATGAAATCTTACTTGGGGAATCAAAATGGTTATTTATTGGAGCACCTGGGTGGTTCAGTTGGTTGAGTCTGACTTTTGATCTCAGCTCAGGTCTTGATCTCAGAGTTATGAGTTCAAGCCCCAAGCTGGACTCCATGCTGTGTGGAGCCTATTTAAAAAACTAAAACAATTTACTAACAACAGATTTTCACCAAATCTAAAACACTGATTACATGACATCACTGTTAAAAGTAATGACATTTAATAACATATAAGAAACTTGTACCATTTACAAAACCCTCATTGTTCCACACCAAGAAAGCTATGCATGCCAATCATAGCTTTCATCATCATCATGATGTGTATAGGGTATATTCTAATAATTACTTCCTCCCTGTCATACCTTAGTACAACAAGTACTGGCTATTTATTGACACAAGATCAGGCATAGGAATAAAGTTGAACAATTACAATACCATTGTAATTAATTATAACAAACCCGAGACATTTTTCTTTTTTTTTTTTATTTTTTTTATTTATTTTATTTTTTTTTATAAATTAATTTTTATTGGTGTTCAATTTACCAACATACAGAATAACACCCAGTGCTCATCCCGTCAAGTGTCCCCCTCCGTGCCCGTCACCCATTCACCCCCACCCCCCGCCCTCCTCCCCTTCCACCACCCCTAGTTCATTTCCCAGAGTTAGAAGTCTTTATGTTCTGTGTCCCTTTCTGATATCTCCCACACATTTCTTCTCCCTTCCCTTATATTCCCCTTCACTATTATTCATATTCCCCAAATGAGTGAGAACATACACTGTTTGTCCTTCTCCGACTGACTTACTTCACTCAGCCCGAGACATTTTTCATTACCAAATGTATGGACTGAAGTATTCTCTCAAACTTCAGATGTTTAAATCATAATCCCCAGTACTTCAGAATATGACTATATTTGGAGATAGGGTCTTTAGGAAGGAAATTAAGGTAAAATAAATCATTACAATGGGCCCTAATCCAAGATAACTGGTGTCCTTATAAGAGGAAATTAGGACATAGGTACAGAGGAAGGCCATGTGAAGATGTAGGGAGAAGACAGCTTCAAGAAGCCAAGGAGAGGCTTCAGAACAGTCATATATGGTAATAGCATCCTTGTTTTATAGAAAAGGAAATCAAAGAAGTAAATGGCATCTCTGCTTGTCCAATGAGCATGCACCAGGATGCAGGACTCAGACTGAAATCTTGTGACCCCAAATCCTGCCCACTTTCCACTCTGAGCAGGTGATGGACTAGAGGACACCTGAGCTTTGGTCCCAGCAATGCCCTAAAGGAATTGTTGGACCTTCAGCATCATTAACTTTTTAACATATTTGTTTCTTCATCTGCACAGCTGAGGGGATTGAGTTGAATATTCTAAGGGGTGAATAGACTAAGGGTTTATATAAAAGCCTTTTCAGTTTTAATGTTTATCTCAAATCATTGTCTTCAAACATTTTTTTTAAGATTTATTTATTGAGATCCCATGACCCTGAGATCATGACCTGAGTAGAAATCAAGAGTCAGAAGATCAATCTACTGAGCCAACCAGTTTTCATTTAAACTTCTAAAGAAGGGATCCCTGGGTGGCGCAGTGGTTTAGCGCCCGCCTTTGGCCCAGGGCGTGATCCTGGAGACCCGGGATCAAATCCCACGTCGGGCTCCCGGTGCATGGAGCCTGCTTCTCCCTCTGCCTATGTCTCTGCCTCTCTCTCTCTCTCTGTGACTATCATAAATAAATATAAAAAAAATTTTTTTAAAAATAATAAACTTCTAAAGAAATTACCTCTGTAAACTCCGTTAGTAAGGGAAAGAAAATTCAGTATTTTGGGAACCACTACTTTGCCCATTGGAATTTTGGCTTTATCAAAAAATATGTATACTTAAAAATGTTTTGAAATATTATAATCTTAACTCATTTTATTTTTTTATGATAGTCACACACACACACAGAGAGAGAGGGGCAGAGACATAGGCAGAAGGAGAAGCAGGCTCCATGCGCCGGGAGCCCGACGTGGGATTCAATCCCGGGTCCCCAGGATCGCGCCCTGGGCCAAAGGCAGGCGCTAAACCGCTGCACCACCCAGGGATCCCTTAACTCATTTTAAAAGTAGGGTTTGTATACAATTAGTTAATTTTCTGTGCCTAAAGATTTATCCATTCGAGCTTTTAAGGATTACATATAGCTTCATGAACAAAACTCAAGATTGAAATTTTTTACAGAAAATCAGAGTTCAGTCCTAAAATCTTTAGTGAATGATTGTATGATCTTGAGTGAAAAAACAAGTTGCAGACCTGTTTCGCGGTCTGAAAAATGAGGTGAATGGCTTCCTGCATGCCTTGCAGAAAAGTTTGCTGTTAAATGAGAGAGTATCTGTGAATTCCTTATGAACTTTTTCAAGGGAAGTTGCTGTATATATTCAACTACAGTGTATTTAACAGAAACTCACATTATTAGGTGTCTTTTTTCAATAACTTCCTCAGCTTTGAAATACTCCGTGAATGCTTGACTTGTAATCTCTTCGTAGCCATTGTGAGTGTACATTTTGTTTGCCAGGAAGAGGAAGTGAATGGTAAAAAATAATTTGTACTACAATGGAGGGTGGCAGGTCAAATGGCTGGAGAAGTTAGAATTGTGAATCATCTCGTGTGTTCTCAACTAAATAAAGGCAATCTGCCCAAAGGGGAGGGGAAAAAAATCTATAAACCACACGCTCCATCCAATCATGTAAAGACAAATCAGCCTTCAGACGAATCAAATATCTTCATTTAAAGCTTACCTGGATTTGGCACTCTGCCCATCTTTTCCCAAGTCTCTTCACAATATATTTTCACAAACAGTCAAAAACATGCATACTGAAAAGCATACCCTGTACAATGTTATTTTTAAAAACAAAGAATTCTTGGCCCAGGGAAGATCGTTCCTGGGGAAAAGGAAAGTTCCTTTCGGAGTTTGCAACATGTAAATACGGGATTAGTGGGTGGGATTGAGGTGTGCTCCGTGCATAAATAGAGGCTTGGGTTGAGCTAGCACACTAGGAGGCTTGGACTGCTTTGAGGCCGGCTGGCTCATACGGACAGGTGGGTGGGGAAAGCAGGTAAGACTCCTAACAAGACTGTTTACAAGGCACTTGCTAGAGTGAGTTTTGGGCTCAGATTACTGTGTAAAGTTTCAGGAATCAACAGAGAGAGAAGGGCCAGGTAGTTCCCAGGACAACGAAATGGGATTTGCAGAACGAATAATGGAATTTCCATCAACAGCTTATTAGGGCCTTTCTTTGGCCAGACCTGGAAGAGGGTTGTGTTCCTGAGCTGTTTCAAGGTAATACTTTCTCTCTCTAGAAATAAGTGGTTTAAGAGTGGGTGAATTCTAATTAAGGGTGCTCAGGCCTAGGACAGGACCCAGTGTCTTCTATTACTGTGTACTGCTCACCATTTAAAGCTCTGCTTCTCACCCACTGGCTAGAGCCCAGACCCACAGGACTGGCAAATCTCAGATCAGACTGCCCACTAGGAACTGCAATTCACAATTCTACTGCAAATCAGAAAAATAATTATCTTTCTGCAACCCTTGTAAAGATATTCTTGTTGCATCTTCAGTCTTGAAATTCATGGGCTGGGCAGTAAGAGGAGAGATCTGGCTGCTTTCCTGAAGCATTTCAACAGGGGCAGGGAAACTTCCTGCAAGTTCATTCCCTACTAAAGATAAGATTAGACATACAGTGACCAGTAAAAAGTACTGGTTTCAAAGAGGTTGTGCATGTGTCCAAATTCTCACTATCTCCCATGATTAGCATTCTGTTTTGAGGTGGTTTATGCAGGACCCTTGCAGAGCAGAAGCTACTTATTATAAAAAGTTGATGGAATGAATCTCAGAACGTGAGCCCGCAGTAGTATATCTATACAGCAGGAGTGACATTAGGCTTCAGTGAGTCATCCTGCCATAAAATACATACATTATGTCAATTGTTCCAGCTGGTATTCTGCAGAGCTATGACAGGGGTCATGCAACAAGAACCATCAATGAACCAGATAGATAAAAATGCTCTACCACCGATTCACAATTTTTTCTAACATAGAGGCTATTGCTATAAATAAAAGACAAAATCGAATGTTTATTGATATATTCCAAGTAGTTATTTGCCAAGATATGTTTCTGAATCAACTGATATTTTACAAGTACAATTATTCTCATATCAAAGTTCTTTTTTTTTTTTTTCTTTTCTATGTTAAAAAAAAAAGTCTTTGTACTAACAAGGCTGGGAACTGTTGACCTATGTAGATATTCTTATCTGAGTAGAAAATGAAGAAAGTATATCCTTGCTTTTTGTTTATGTCTTTTTTGAAGCAGACATTTTGTGGCTACACACCATGATTTGGATAGATAATAATTGGTTAGTTTAAGCCAAGGCATCACCTGGATTTATAACTTAAAATGCTTTTTTTAAAAAACAGCTAATGCTTAGTAAAGATTCCCACTCAAGCCATCAGAACATGAGAAACTTCCCCCCCCCTTAAAAAATATTAAGTATTAATAGTCCATCCTGCTTCCTTTGCAGTTTATTGAGACCTACACCAGTATCAGTGAGGTATTTGTTAAGCAATTTCAATCTTTGTCTTTACTGGAATCTCCAATTCTGCATGTGATGGATAACCATAGTGATTTGCTAGTGCAACTCCATTCACTAATTAGCTCCCTCCCTTGCTCACTCCTGGATCTTACCTATAATGTTCACTTTCCTGTTTATAGGCATCTGCTTTGTATTAGTATAACTTTCCTAAGGAATTAACTTCAGTCTGGTTATACTATGCATACTTATACTATGCAGTCTTAGGAAAATTCTGTGGAAGGAAGGTTTTCATACCAGCTGCATGTTTTCTGTCTCAGCTAACTGGAAGGGGAAAAAAAATTAACAAAGAGACACACACAGAGTTGATTTCTGTGTTATGAGCCCCACAGAATGGTTTTTGTGCACTAAAATATATACCCACAGTCACCTAACTATCCAGGCCCATGGACAGAGTCAAAGAATTGTTTCAGGAGACTGAACTTGCATAGACATATTTTAGTCAATTCAGAAGTAATAAACGGAATTTGAGTAAATGTCACACAAGGGAGAGAGTTATATGGATACAAATTTTCAGTTAAGTGACAAAGATGGCAGGTTTTAATTTAAATAAGGATTAATTTTACTTAGATCTAATTCTCTAAGGGCAATATCTCCATTTTAATAGAAGGTGAAAGAAATATGTACGTTTAGGGTAATTGTTTCAGGATGGGAAAATGGGAGCCAGCACAGCAAAATGACAAGATCCAGAGGACTCAATTCTGTACCCATCTCCCAAGCCCTCATCTCCCTGAATTTCAGATTCTCCATCTATAAAATGAGGCATGGGGAGTAGAAATGGAGGTGGTAACACCTAAGGCACCTCCCAGTACTAAAATGTTTGAAATTTAAAATTTTGGGATGCTTGTGTGGCTCAGTGATTGGGCATCTGCCTTCGGCTCAGGGAGTGATCCCAGAGTCCCCAGATCGAGTCCCACATCGGGCTCCCTGCACGGAGCCTGCTTCTCCCTCTGCCTATGTCTCTGCCTCTCTCGCTATCTATATACCTATTTCTATACTGTAGGTTTCTATCTATGGATAGTTATATCAGTATATTTACATCTACATAGGTCTATTGATAGACGGATGCAGAAGTTGATAGATACTTATACTATGCAGTCTTAGGAAAATTGTGTGGAAGGAAGGTTTTCATACCAGCTGCGTATTTTCTATCTCAGCTAAGCCTCAAGTTCTTTATATGTCAGGGTTGTGATGTAGTCTGAGGGTTCTAATGGCCACTAATTCCCTTTTGTGTTACTGACATTTTGCCTGTTTGTTTTCCATATCAGATTTGCCATGGAGAAGATCTCGGTGTCAGCATTTTTGCTCCTCGTCGCCCTCTCTTACACTCTGGCCAAAGATATCACAGTTAAATCAGGAGCAAAGAAAGATACCAAGGACTCAGCCCCCAAACTGCCCCAGACCCTCTCCAGAGGTAGGAGTCAGCCTCCAGTTGGCTTCCAACACTGCCTCATTGAGACGCTGAGACTTGTGTGCCAAAAATATTTTTTAATGTGTTTCTTCTAAATTTATCAAAGTTTATAATTGCTTCTACTTTCTCTAGAGGGTTTTGCATTCAGTTAGTATCCAGTATATATTTATCCCAGTCTTTACAACTGCTTTTCAACAGCTTTAGCCTGAAATTGTAATAGCTTTAAATATACTGGTTCATTTTGTTCTAGGTTGGGGTGATCAGCTCATCTGGACTCAGACTTATGAAGAAGCTTTATACAAATCCAAGACAAGGTAAAGACGAGGGCTACAGAGTTCTCTTGCAGCTCACAAGAGCACCATCTAGTGATAAGTAGCTATACATGAAATCTTACTCATTAAAATTACCCAATCTCTCTTTTGTCTCTTACAGCAACAAACCCTTAATGATTATCCATCACCTGGATGAATGCCCACACAGTCAAGGTAATCTGTTTTTTTAACTATACTTTTCCTTATAGGCTTTTAGCTATAGGGCCAAGATTCGGGTCTCTCTCGTGCCTGGCACAGTTAAATAAAACAGAATATCTAAAAATAAAACAGAATATATAGTAAAAACATAGTTTAAAGTAACTTCAAATATTTCCATACTTTGTGTTAACAGCTGGTGCACATTTCAAAAAACAAAAACAAACTTTAAGATTCATCCTTGACTTCTTGCTTTCTCTTATATCCCATGTCTACTCCATCAGCAAATAGCACTGCTTTACCTTCCAAATATATCCAAAGCCAGCCCCAGCTTCATGGACGTGCAAGCTGTGCAGGCATCCAAGGCCCAGTGCCTGGAAGGTTCCTCTGCTAGATTTAAATCTCTGGTTGGTGCTGTCTTAAAATACATAATCATTTTTGAAGAAGAGGCTCCATAATTCTGTTTTTCCTGGGCTCCATATATTATGTAGGTCTCGCCCAAATCCAACCACTTCCTATTGTCATTTCTACTGCCCTGATCCAAACCACGGTCACATCTTGTCTAGGATACTGTGAAGCCACCTAAGTGGTCACCCTCAGTGAGTTCTCCATCCAAAGTCAAAGGGAGGCTGTTAAACATAAATCAGATCCTTTCACTCATGTGCTCAAGCCACTCATGTGGCTTCTTATCACAAGTAAATTAAATCTAGGGCAGCCCAGGTGGCTCAGCAGTTTAGCACCGGCTTCAGCCGAGGGCCTGATCCTGAAGACCCGGGATTGAGTCCCACATCAGGCTCCCAGCATGGAGCCTGCTTCTCCCTCTCTCTGCCTGTGTCTCTGCCTCTCTCTCTTTCTCTGTGTCTCATGAGGAATAAATAAATAAAAATCTTAAAAAAGAGAGAGGAAAAAAAAGTAAATTAAATCTAAATTCTGGATCATGGTCTACAAGGCTGGACATAATCCAGCCCCTGGCTATCTTTGCTTTCTTACCATTCTTCCTTTGGTTTTTCTCCACTCCATCTAGCCTGGCCTTTGTGCTTTTCTTCCAGGACCTAAATGCATCCTGCCTCAGGGCTATTGCTCTTGCTCCATCTAGTATGGCATACCCCATAAATCTTAGAACGGATTCTTTTCTCCTTTAACGTCACCTTCTCTGATAGGTCTACCCTGACCATTCTATGGCTCCTAAACCTCTTGCCTTTCTTCGGTTCTTTTTCAAAGTACATATCTCCATCTGAAGTTATTAGATTATGTATTTACTTGTTTATGGTCTTTGTCCCACATAAGCATTTGAGCTCTAGGAAGACAACACATTACCTTTCTTTTTTTTTTTTTTTTTCCACTGCTATACTCCCAAGTGCATAGAACAGGGTGTACCACATAGGAATCTCTCAATAAATATGGGTTGGAAAAAAATGGGTGGATGAATGAATGAATGAATGAATGAGTGAATGGCAAGCAGCAAAGGTAGTCACTGGCCTAGATACTACTTCACTAATTGTTTCTTCAAAAGGCAAAGTTAGTATATTAAATATACAGTTCATCATAAAATATAACAGAGAACAATGGCTTCAACCAGCAATGAGATGGATACTTCATGATTCTTTTGTATTTTCTAGCTTTAAAGAAAGTGTTTGCTGAAAATAAAGAAATCCAGAAATTGGCAGAGCAGTTTGTCCTCCTCAATCTAGTTGTAAGTTCACTTTTCATCATCACTGACCTTTCTCCATGGCTCATTATTTGAAATGGATGATTCATTTTTCCTGTGCATATTAGTCCCACTGCACTGACTGGGGTCTATCCCAAGGATCACATCTCACAGATTACAAAGAAAAAAAAATATTTTATTCATAATCTATTTTGCACAGCTATTCTTTTATTTAGTAATTAATCATTTTAGGCTATCTGAAAAATAGGCTCCTGTGGTCAGGGCTTTCTCTGTTGCTATACTAATGGGAAGGTTTTTGTCTTTACAAATCTATTCCCAGGCCCCTTCCTCTACAGTCTTGAGGTTGTACACCCCTTCTTAGGCCTTGTCCCCTCTCTCCCTGGGAGTGACAGTTTCCCGGCTGTCTAAAGCACATCACTGCACATGGGCTTTAGCCTCATGCATTCCCACCTTACTTCATCATCAACACCCTTCCTGATGGCTGACACTTCTGTCTGCATGTTCTTTCTACTCAGATACAAACAGGTTCCACTTTCCTTCCAAAAGGAAACAAGCAAACAATAAACAACTCACAAGATGACCTAACCCTATGTCTTCTCCCTCCCTCCCTCCCTTCCCCTTCACCTCCCTCCTTCTCTCTCTCTCTACCTCTTCACAAGTTGACAAAGGTTGACTTCTTCAAAGAGCATTCACATCAGTATCTCTTTCCATAGGCTTCTCTTCCTCTTCCTACCTTTTAATATTAGTGACTTGGTGAATCTCTACTTGACTTCTTAATATTTTATATTCTTTTTAATATTTTATATTCTCTATGAACAATTTCATCCACAGCTGCCTTTAATCAATGCCCATGCATGGTTAATTCCCACATCTTACCCAAACAGGCAACAATTTCCCACTTGTGTGTGCCACTGTGGTCCAGATATTGCATTATTAGCTTAATCTCAACATGTCCAACAATTAATTTATTAGCTTGGTGCAGGATTTGCAAATAGCTCAATTTTATTACGTGTTTCACTGAAAGTTTCATTCAAGACTGTGTTCTCCTCCAGGCCTCCAGTAGTCAAAAAATGCTGTTGTTCTAATGTCTCAATATTCTTGCTATCGGCCACTTCCATATAAAGTGAGGCCCACTATTTAGTGTAAGAATTTCTCTTTGCCTGATTTACTACAGTATTACTAAATGGCTCACTGCCTACAAAATAAATCCCAGCTAATCCCACATAGCTTTCAGAGTAATGATTCTAAAAACCAAACTGGGATTATGGTACTTCTAAATCCCTCCAGTGATTTTGATCTATTTCTGAACACGAGCAAACACTGGCATGGTGTGCAAGACCTCTCATGAGCCGGCCCTGGAAGCAGTTCTCCAGCATTTTCTTTCTCCACTGCATCATACATCCCTATATTTCAATCCTTCCTAAACTCATGGTCATACCAGAAAGTGCTATGCCTTTCCTTTACCTTTGTGCCATCTCTACCACTGCCTGGAGTAACCTAATTTTTCACATATCTGACTCCTATTCATTTTTTAAGATTCCCACTTCAGAGAGTCTTAGTGAAACTTGCATACAAACTTAGATGCCCTGCTCTGGTCATCTAACCTGCCCGCTGCACCTACTGGTCTTCCTTCATAACACCACACCAACTAGATCCTCAATATTCATTTTCCTACCTGTATCTCTCAAGTGACGTGCATTCCTTAAAGATAAGTGCCATAAGATAGGCCTGTTTGTTTCTGTAATTTCTTTGAAAATGACTGGTTTTCATTGTTCTATTTCCTCCTATCTCATCCAAGATGTAACTTCCCAAATGCTGTAACTCGCTCTATAGTCTCCCTTCTTGAACATTTTTTGCTCTTCATCATATTCATTCACTCGCTCTCTACCTCAAGTTCTGCATTAGTTTGCTCTAGCTTATTTACTACTTCATGTGTATAGCTTGCCTCCCCATCTGGGTCATAAACTCCCTGTGGAAGAGATGTGCCTTACAGCATCTCAAGAAGCCCAGCCCAGTAATGGCCACATTTCTGTATTAATGAGTTTGAAAATAACTAAAGAATAAACAAACTAAAAGCTGTCTTTTCTTTTAATCTTAGTATGAAACAACTGATAAACACCTTTCTCCTGACGGCCAGTATGTCCCCAGGATCATATTTGTAGGTAAGTAAAGATGGCAATGAGATCAAGCACAGTGATAATTGCCCAAGTGCTGCACTCCCTCTCTCACCTGCCACTCCATTTTGGCCATGGCCATTGTCACACCTTAGCCAGGGGTCTAACATTCCTTTACATTTCTCAACATTTCATCATTAGAAAATTCAAACGTATACCTATTTACAGGTTTGTTTCTCATCTGCTAATGTAAATGTACCGTGCCCTGTCACAAATACATCTGAGAAGAAAGCACTCTACTAACTGTTTAAATGTATTACTCATTTTCCTGAATACATCACCAGGTCTATAAATTCATATTTTTCTTTCAACTTGTATGTTGGATTTTTTTTCTGACATTTTTTGATAATTTTTTTTTGGGGGGGGGCACATTAGGAATATGGCTGGAAAAAATCAGAAGAGCCATGCTCCTTCCAGCCACTGGTACTTTTCATATGCTGTTCCCTCCACTGGCAAGCTTTTCCTGCTTACCTCATACACCTTGCCATTGCCTAATTAACTCCCCAGTCATCACTGTCATTCACTGACTGGACACAATCCACACTATGTGCTCTTGTGGCACCATGCTCCTCTCAGTAGGCACTCTCTCCTCAGTTATAATTTTGTATTTATCAGGTGATTGTTCAGTATCTATTTCCCCCATAGGACTACAGCTCTTTGTGGCTGGGCCTGTGTCTATTTCTTCTGACCATCATAGTTTCATCATGACCCTGTGGTAGGCTGGCAATAAATACTTGTTAAATGATTAGACACATGAATTGAGATTGGCTTTGAGCCAAGTTATAGTGATTCAAGGACAATGTAGAAATAAATCTATCACATGGCAGAGCTCACACTCATCAACTGGTTCACCTATGTAATCCATCCAAGTTCACACTAAATGCACATAACAGAGGAAAGAAACAAGTGAAGGATAAAAATGAGGAAGGCTGACCTCAAGCTAATTTTATAGATTCAGTTTTGTTAGGATTTAGAAAATCTAGAACACTTAATTTGGGACTTTATAGGTCATCCAGTTACACTGTGTGCAGTTCTTTTCATAGCATTATTCCTGTCTCAGGGCATTTTAACCCACATTCAATTCCTTCCAAAAGAACCAACTCAGCTCAGGAATGTAGACACTGGCTACAGGTTAGAATCACCCAGAAGATTTTAAAAATCAACAGCCCAGGCCACACCTAAAACCAATTATATCCAAATCTTGCAGGGTGGGAGGCTGGATGTCTTTCTTAAAGCTTTCTAGGTGGTTCCACTGTGCTGCCTGTGGTATTGTGAGCCAAAGATTGGGCAGTTAAAAAGCTTTTCTTATGTTAATTTATTACAAAGAGTAGACCCTGTGTTTATATCCTCTGCACGTAGCAGAAGTATAATAGGTTTTAAGTCTTTGTTGAACAAATAAATGTCTGCTTTTTGTAATTAATGTCAATTGGGCCCATTCCAACATTCTGAAATGACAGATTGTCCACTTAAGTACCAGTGGCAGAATTTGCATACAAGCAGCTGGTTCTCCCGTGCCTACATCTAGTTTTCAGGACATGCACCTTAGGCCCCTTCAATCCTCTCTCACGAGCCAAGGTTTCTAGACCTGTGTAGATCCTAGTAGCTCCCTTTTTGATACACCTTATGTTTAAAATGCCTTCTTTTCTCATTAGTTGATAGCTTCAAATTAAATATAAAACATGGAAAAAAGGATTTAAACCTCTAGGGACATATGTTTACAAAGGGAAAGACTCCTAAATCTTTTTTAAATGCAGCTAGATAACAATATAATGAAAAAAGAGGGGCCCTACAGGCTTGTTTGACCTTTGATGTTCTTAAGGGTTTGCATTCTTCTATTCATTAAAAACCACCCTTGGTTTTGAAAACTAGCATTGGATGTGGGTTTCTAATTATCTAGGTTGTTCTTGGTAACAGGTTGCAATTACGACATAATCATTTCAAAAGTTTGAAATAATTCTTTAGCAGAGAAAGCCAGTGTTTTCACCAAGGTACCCAACCCATACCTCCCTGCCAGTATGGATAATTCTGTTTTCAGGTTGCTATAGATAGGACAGCAGGGTTCATAACCTTTCCCACAAATAGCATTGCACAGCTGTCAAGTGCTCCAGGCCTTGCTTTGGGTACTGGCAGCCAGGCCGGGTTGCAGAGTAGATAGACTAGAACTCCACAAGGCAGATCACACGCTGTGTTCTTTACATTGGCCGTGGATAAGTACCTGGGCTTCCTCATGCAACAGAGCTTACTCGGGAACAGAAACTCCATTCAATAACATATCAGATAAAGGGCTAGTTTCCAAAATCTATAAAGAACTTATTAAACTCAACACCAAAGAAACAAACAATCCAATCATGAAATGGGCAAAAGACATGAAGAGAAATCTCACAGAGGAAGACATAGACATGGCCAACATGCACATGAGAAAATGCTCTACATCACTTGCCATCAGGGAAATACAAATCAAAACCACAATGAGATACCACCTCACACCAGTGAGAATGGGGAAAATTAATAAGGCAGGAAACAACAAATGTTGGAGAGGATGCGGAGAAAAGGGAACCCTCTTACACTGTTGGTGGGAATGTGAACTGGTGCAGCCACTCTGGAAAACTGTGTGGAGGTTCCTCAAAGAATTAAAAATAGACCTGCCCTACGACCCAGCAATTGCACTGTTAGGGATTTACCCCGAAGATTCAGATGCAATGAAACGCCGGGGCACCTGCACCCCGATGTTTCTAGCAGCCATGTCCACAATAGCCAAACTGTGGAAGGAGCCTCGGTGCATCTGTTTGTTTTTTTCTTTATAGACCCATCCCTGACAGTTAGAGCTGACATCACTGGAAGATACTCAAATCGTCTCTACGCTTATGAACCTTCAGATATAGCTCTACGTAAGTGTCCCCTCCTTGACATGGCTCTTTGCTGTTGTGCTACGAGTGGAGTCCATGATGAGGAAGAAGAAAGCTCTGCTCAGACACACAGGATGTTTGGCCTTAACTAGCCTTGTGCTCTCTGGCAAATCATATTCACCTTGGTCTCATTTATTTAAATCTCAGTGAAAGACTCTTTAGATTGGGTATCTTTTCCTCTAGGAGGATTCTATGATCCTATTTCCTGCTTTTCCTTAGACACCCGATCATACAAACTCCTTCTACCATAGAATCAAGTGCAAGAGTAACTGTACTATTATAACAGGAATCTGCATGCCTTAAACACTTTCTCCGAATAATGAAAGTGAAATAATGTAGTCCAGTTTGTTGATATTGAGTTTAGGTTCAATTTTAAAGATCAGAAGGAAAGATTTTTCCCAATAGTTGGTAAGATACTCACTTTCCCTGGAGTTGCCATAAAATGGAAAGAAAAAAAAAATGTTAAGAGACTCAGGACAAAGCACCTCAAAGGGAGACTGTACCTAGTTATGGCATCTAATTAGTCCTTCTGGGAAGAAAATTGGGTTTTGTCCTAAGAACCAATTCTGCACAATGACTGGAGGCTGCCTAGAACTGTACTGCCCAACATGGAAGCCATGAGCTACACATAACTCTTTAATATTACATTAATTAAAATTTAAAATTCAGTTCATTAGGCATAGTAACCACAGTTTAAGGACACAATGCACAGGCACTAAATATTTTTCATTATCACAGATATATCTATTGAGCGGCACTGACCTAGAACATTATGCCGGGGAAGACTTGAGGCTGCATCTGGGCAGCAGCCAAGATTATCCTAGGCCATTAGCGATGCCTCCAGGGGGTGCAGGGAGGACCAAGGAAGCACATTTCACGTACTGGCCATTCTCAATATATATTTCTTAATAAGACTTTGGATTCCTTAAAGGCAGGTATCCTGCACAGGTGATATTACAGTGCTTTGTAGAAAAGACATGTAATAAATATTGGAAGACAATTGGCTTGTGTAATAAAAGCTAATTCACCTACTTTTAGAAAAAAATTTAGGGATCCCTGGGTGGCGCAGCAGTTTGGCGCCTGCCTTTGGCCCAGGGCGCGATCCTGGAGACCCGGGATCGAATCCCACGTCGGGCTCCCGGTGCATGGAGCCTGCTTCTCCCTCTGCCTGTGTCTCTGCCTGTCTCTCTCTCTCTGTATGTCTATCATAAAAAAAAAAAAAAATTATAACAAATTTACCAATTGTTCACCCTATCATGAAATAGCACCCCATTCAACAATGAATAAATATCTACGTTTAGGGCTTACTAAAGCTATCAGTATAATTTCTGGTGACATCTTTGTTAACTGTGGCAACCTTTTTCCCATTAGTGCTCGACAACATGAAGAAAGCTCTGAAGTTGCTAAAGACTGAATTGTAGAGAAAAAAAAGTCTGCAAACTTTTTTCTGTGTCCAGCCCTGAGACTTGGAACCAGAGGAGATCCTAGAAGACTTTGGAAAATGTAGGAACAGTGATGGACATCTAATTAGATTATGGTTATTGTTACAACAGATATTTTTTTAAAATCTTGTTTCAACTGTACATGTATGAAAATAATACTGCATACTACCATAGGAAGTCATGCTTTTTTAAAATAAATAAATCCTTTTGGGGGTGTTCAAACTGTTATTCCCCCCCCCCAACTTTGTCCTTCAGAGAAAAGCTATTATTTCGGACACATGAAGTATTCGAAGACAAACTCAACAGGATTAGTGAAGACCAGAAAAAGTTCTCATCTCACTTCACTATTCGCTCACTCAGTGACTAAAAGTAGACATGAGCTAATTCAACAGAAGTATCAAAACAGAATTTGTGTGACTGTAAAAGAATATGTAGAAAGGTGTCCCAAAAAATTAGGTACCTAACTGAAGAATTCCCCAACCCCACCTCCCTGACTCTAGCCAGACTCCTAAATACACGCTTACCTTCAAGAATTCAGTTTTAGTTAGATTCTGCACAATTGAACTCTCTCAGAGAAAATCTCTGACAGCTTTCTCCATCAGTGCACTGATTTTGTGAAAAGGTCATTCAAAAAGCATTTGCACCTATGAACGTACCCTCAAAAAATCCTAAGAATTAGCCTTGTAATACATTTGCCCTCTCAAGGTTTTAGAGTACTGCCCTGGAGTAAATTTAGTTGAGTTGTTCCCATCTTCACCAAAAGATGGAGAACAGCAAAGGGCACAGACATCATGTCTATGGAACAGAGATCAGAGATCACTACTTACCTCCGGAGAAGTTGAGAGAGGTAGTGGCATCAAATAGGGGAGCAGCTCTAGCTACTTTCAGTTCTTTATTCTGAATGACAAAAATTAGAACTGTGTATTAATTTCTTAACTACCTATTTATTTAATCTCACATTCACTGTCACATGGAATTTCTTTATCACTCAGACCCCACTGACCTCTTTGGCCTGTAAATGGCTGTGGTGGTCCGTACAATGTTTTAAATATTGATACATTGATTATCTATTGCTTGTCTTGACAAACTTTTTTTTAGAACCATTCTGAATAGATCCTTTGGCATTATTATCTTTTCCAGGGCAGAATATATATTTTAAATTCTCTTTCATAGTACTACCAAAGAGCTATATACTAATAGGTTCTGTGTACATATGGTTGATTTAATAATATACAGATCCTCAGTAAAAATATCAGCAGAGAGATTCATCTCTCTTCTTAAAGTAGGTACACATGTTTAAAAAGGTTAAATATATTTAGAAAGTTCTCTGAGAGCTAATGAAGGGAAAACTAGTATGCATTTATATAAACAAATATTTTGAACGACAACTTCTAAGATATTCAGGTTTCCTCTAGCATACATTAAAATAAAAATTAAAAATGTTTTTTTAATTTGGCTAAGATTAAGTTCTTAAAATTTATTGAATAACAAAGTGTTATTTTAACAACACATATAATTTTTAAGTCATAAATCAATCTCTGGGAAGTCAAATGTTAAGGTTACAAGGAAGTTGAATCTCCCTTAGAAAAGTGTTAAGCAGAGCCACGGTCTTCTCTACTTCTGAAAATTTGTCCTAATGCAGATCAGAAAATCATTCAAGAAAAATATAGAGTTCTGTGAAGATGCTCATGGCAACATTATTTAAACATACTTTAAAAAATGGCAACCACCAAATAAAATGATTACATAGTTTATTAACACAAAGCACACTATGTTGTCATCTCTACACATAAACATTGTGAAGAAACAAAATGAAAGATATTTCCTTGCTGTGCTTTTAATCCCAGGAAGTGTGTGTACCCAGCAGTTAGAATGAGAAGTGAAGATGCAAAGGGAAGAACTTCTGCTCGAAGCTTACGGAATTATTAGCAAAGCCTTTTCTTGTCATTTCACAATCTTTGTGTTCAAATAAATTGAAATAAAAGCATATATTGACTATTTCTCTAGCTACAGAGAACTAGAAGAATGCTGTAAGTCTAAAGAGTTATTTCAAACAATTGAAGAAAAATGTAACACAGTGGAAATCTAAAATTCTGTGAAGCCACTGTGAAAAAAAATATATGACTGTTCCTCAACAAATTAAGCAGAGAATTGCCATACGATTCTGAGTATGTACCCCAAACACCTGAAAGCAGGAAAAGGCTACAGGGCACTCATGTTCATAGCAGCATTATTCACAATAGCCAGGAGGGGGAAGCAACCTAAATGTCCATCAGTGGATGAGTGAATAAACAAAATGCAGCATAAGCAACCAATGGAACATGATTCAGCTTTGAAAAGGAAGGAAATTCTGACACATGCTGCAACATGGACAAACCTTTTGAAAACATTATGCTAAGTGATTGAATAAACCAGTCACATAAGGCAAATACCTGCTTTCCACTCACAGGAGGTATCTGGAATAGTCAGAGTGGTAGTTGTGAGAGCTAACAGTAGAGGGGAAGGGGGTGGGGCTACGGCTGGGGGAAGGAGAGGGAGGGTTACTTTTTACCAGGTACACACTGTCAGCTCTGGAAGATGAAAAACCTAGTGGGGATGATGGTTGGGCCACAATGTGAATGTACTTAATGACACTGAATTACACACTTAAAAATAGTTAAAATGATATTTTGATATTATGACACATCTTATGCTCTGTGTATTTTACCACACCAAAAAGAAAAATAATATTTTATCAGTTTTATCAGAGGTCCCAAGGCTTAGGAGGGAAAAGAGAAAGTAATTTAGAAAAAAGCTGGTAACATAAATCACCTGTGAGTCATTTACATGGATGACCAACATGCCCGGTTATACCATTTTCACCTGCTTGAGGACTGCAGTCTTCAAATGAACATCTACAACTGTTTAACTCTGCTATGGTTTTTTGTTTTTTGTTGTGTTTTTTTTTTTTTTTTTTTTTTTTACTGCTATGGGTTTTTGTGTGTTTCAGGCATTCAGTAATCCTAAATAGCTTCTAAGGTCCTTATATTTAACAGTCACTGGTGAGCACAGGAGCTGGGGTAGGATTAAAAAAAAAAAAAAAAAAAAGCTCTAAGGCAGGAACAGAACCCCCTTCAGTTTGCTCACCAATAAGGCAGGCTTCAAAGTCCAAGTAAAGTGAGCCTGACTTTTTAAAAAGCCATTTGTCAAGTTATGACCTCATAAACGGTAAAAAGCCAGATGCTGAAAGTAAGCGATGGTGGTTTCACCCTCCACGTGATACCACAGTCTATTGTTTGTCGTATATTTTAACTCAGAACTCCCTCCCGCCCTCATTGGAAAATGAATGCCAAAAGCTGATTTTCCAGAGGAGAGTGGATGAGAAGTAGCCTGGCATATGGTAGAAGAGTCTGATTTTTCTCCCCCCTGCCCACTTTCTCAGGAGGTAGGTCAATGACTACAATTACTCAGTTGTGATTGTGACGAACAAGAAGACCTTTGTTCTCTCTCTCTCTTCCTCTCTCTGTCTCTGGGGTTGAGTGGAGGAACAGGGTAAAGGGCATTATTAGGTTGTTCCCTTAAAACTATTTAGAAAACACTGACCAACAACACATACTATAATTGCATTTGGCATAGATAACCAGGTGTAAAAATTAACTGCCAACCCCCCAAATAAGAAGTGCATAGCAACTTTACACAAACCCCCTCACATTTCCAGAAACCTGAAAAACTTGGTCTTTAACTTTGTCAATTCTAACAAAACAATTGACATGTGAATGATCCTATTTGTACAATTATGATGTCTAAAACTTTTCCTATGAAATACTATGAAATAAAAATGTGATTCTAATTTGTTCAGTACCAGCTATAAAATGAAATTGTTTCATATATTTACTTAGTGCATTTTCAAAAGGATGAATAAACTTAAACAGGGTTAAACAAATATTTAAAAAAAAATTGTAGGAGGAGGTTTTTGCCTTAAGGAAACTAAGAACTTGAAACCCCACTTCTGGATTCTTTTCCCTCTCTGCAAGGTTGTACTCAGCAGCATATCACTGAGGTCGAACATGCAGAACTGGTTTTCATACCAAACTTGTTTCCATCAGAGAATCTGAGATGAATTTATGCCACATGAACTCTGATTTGCAGCCTAACATTTTTCCTTTGCATTAGCATTATATTAACTGAAGTTCTACCCTTAACATCAAGTCTGATTGGGCAAATGTTCTAAGAAATATTCCTCTAAATGGAATTTGTAAATAGGGAATAAGAGACATTTAAAAAATAAGTAGAGCTTCTTTTTTAAATCAATGGGAAGTGAAGAGAGAGGAGCTCCAGGGTCTGGAGTATGCATTACAGACATTTGTTGCAATTCAAAGACAGACCCTGATCTGAAACGCCCTCCTTGGACCCTGTGTGTTTACAGGCAACAGTTCTAAGCACATAGACAGTGGCCCTCCTATAATCCTGGGATCAGACTGACTTCTGCAGCCTCATTAGCAGCCACTTGGGATTCAGAATAGGCCATTCCAGTGGGTTTATAATAAACTGTGCAATGTGAGCTGTATCTCTGCACGCAGACACAAAGATCACAGGAGACCTCCCAGACATGGCAGGGCAATGTATCACCTTCAGATCTGCCTGAGGTAACAGAAAGCCTGAATTAATCTAACAAGGCTACTCTTGGTACTTGAAAATGTATTATTTCTTGAGTGGTTAGCCATTCGTTACCACCCATTCTTAGAATCCTATAGTTTAGAAGCTCTAAAGGTTCATGCTTCCCAGGCCCCGCTTTGTAATTGGGTTGACCCAAATAAGGCCACTGCAATTAGAGCAGAAACCACGGCTGTGGAAGAGCTCTTTCCAATATAATCCTTGTACCAAGGAAAGTATTACAAGACATGAGAATCTCATGGGAACTTCAAAATGTGACAAAGCAAACAAAGAAAATACAAAAGGCCTTAAAGACATTATTCAAAAATCGCACTTACTTCGTGTGTCACTTATAATCACATCTTATGGCCTAAGTAGGAACATTGTTAGGGTTGCCCAGAGCTGAATATGCCATGGAAGAAGAACAGAATGTGCCACTCCCTGGCATTAAGATTGTTTTGAGCTCATTATTTCTGAAAAAATTAAAGCAGACACAGGAGTAGCTTTGTAAACAGAGTAGAAGTTAACCCTTCTTTAAGGGAAATTTATGCTTGTAAAGGAAATCTC